TTAGTCAACTGCCACAAGGATGTTTTCAAGGTGCACAGCATGTCCAGAGGGCTCTGCAAACATTTGTTTCCAAAAGCATTTGGAGGAAATTTGAAACAAGCTGAGCAGCCGCGTTGTTGAAGCCAAACTAGAGGTTTTTCAAGAAATGTTTGGATGAGATCCTCAATGTGATTCAAATGCCGAGCAACTTGACATCTCACACCGAGTGTGAGGTTCCTGTCGTTTGTCACATTCCCCATGTGTCACGCCCCACACTCTCCCTCGCAAACGGCGTTGCATTCCCAAACCCACTGTTTCACAATCTCACTCCTAATTGAACCCATCACATTCCCACAAGCACCAGATTCCACAAATTCTCACTCCCAAACCAATTATCCAACCACATCCCTTTCCTTTCAGTACTTAAAGTTCCCTCACACACCAACCTTTGCTCACTATTGAGAAGCTTTCAGTAGAACTCTTGTTTGTGATTCTAAACCTTTTGACTGATCTCCTCATACTTAACTTGGCTCTTTTTGACCATGCCTTTTGGATTTTGTTTTTGGATTGTCATTTCTTGATTTCCCTCATTACGGGACTCTTTGCCTCCCTTTTTGACCAAGCCCCTGGATTACGTCTTTTGGTTTGTCCCTGTGCTACTCCGCATCCTGTGAGATTCACAGTTACGCATAAGGATCCTCCTACTCTACCAATTGGTTTCCTGACACCATGCTCTTGCAGTAGGTCATGGAGTTGACCCAAGACTGAAGGCCAAAGGTGGGCTCTGGCCACAATTGCTCTGTCCTCATCGGGCTTCTTGTCGGATGTTTGTGGATCATGCTGTCGTTAATACTGTTTATAAAACTCCCCTTGATGATGAGGCTCTGGAATGTATGTATTCCCTTTTCCCTCCAGGACCTTGATGTGGGCTGTTTCACGAGGACGTCCAATTAAAGACTCTACAAAAACAGTGAGGAGGAGAGCGATCCCCCTCTGCTGTCTTTCTGAATGAATAAAGATGGACGTCTTTGGAGCTCACAGAATTTTGCTTGCTTGTCTCTCCCACCTGCCACCCCTCTGTGCTCAGGGCTCTTGTCTGGGTGCTTGGTGTGGCTAGCATGCTCTTTATCTCTCTCTCTGAACAGAACCTCACTGTGCTGGGGTCAAGAAAAGGTCTTTACAAAGGTCACTCAATAGTGCCTGTGTGCGTACATTCAGAGCGTGAGAGAAGGGAAATCGGGTTCCAAATTTAATGTCGGCACATTTATTGATTAGTTAATAAACCAATTAATACTCTTTGAGTTAGTGGTGTGTGTGTGTGTGTGTGTGTGTGTGTGTGTGTGTGTGTGTGTGTGTGTGTGTGAAAGCCAGTTTTTAATCTGTTTGAGAGGTCAGGGCGCATGTTAATTGTCTTGGTGTGTTCATAGTTTATGTAACATATACGAGTGTTTGTGCAACTTCAGCTCTTTTTAAATGAGCCACCCCTACCACCAACGAGTGACTGCGAACTTATTTTGTGCACCGACATGAAACAGAACAGGAGCCGACATTCGGCATGAAGAGTCCGAAACGTGCCCTGTAGGAGACACCCTGGACCAACGACAGTGCTCGCTTTCCTGTGAGCAGACCGCCCTGTTCAGGAGCCTCTGGCTGGTGAAAGCGCCCAGGAACACAGCTCTGGTATAACCGATGCGCTTTGGAAGCGGACAAACACTCGCGGCTAAAATATATCCACCGCCTTTTTTTTGTTGTTGTTGTCAAAGGCAGATTCTTAAACCTGCATGATGGGACAGGGATTGCATCCATCTGTTCGCCGTCTTCTGGCGAGAGGCAAAAAATCGCATGGAGACTAAAAGCGACCGTAGAATAGGTCTGCATGTTTTCATTTAACCCACTCCTCTGGCTCAGCTGCAGCCTCTCTTCGACCACACCTTTTTAAACCGTGCTGCCTCCTCAGAATACGACTTTGGAGCTCCTACCACCGCGTAAATTCCTCTTTAGCTGCGCCCGTGGAGACGGACAAAAGTCGCACAGAGGGAAACGCACAGCGCGCATTTTACGCTTTTAGTGCGGGCTGCGCACGGCTGAGGGAACGCTTCAGTGTCCCGCAGTGTACAGTATCGCACCGTACTGCACGCCGCTGTCAGCGATCGGCTCAGGACGGCAGCAGGCGATACAGAAAGTGCAGATCTGCACGGGGAAAGGGTTAGATGTAGGGGTCGAGGGCGGAGGACCGGTGTTGCGCTCTGCCTGTCGGAGCTGCTTAGGTATTCTGAGTGGTTAGCGCGGGTTTATATTTAGAGAGAGACCACGAGCGGTGATGATCCCCCGAGGCCGGTGACTCACTCCTCTGCAGCCGACTCGTGCGTCACTGGCGCGCTGGAGGAGGAGATAGCGAGAGGTCTGCGCATTTAATTAGCTCCAACCATTCTCTCTCTCACTCCCGCTCCCTCTCTCTCTCTCTCACACACACAAACGCACACTTTGGGACTCTTGCAAGCGCAGTGATAGGCCTTCTCTCTGCTCTACACACTTCGTCTCGTTTGCACCGACACACTGAGGCGCAAGAGACCCCCCACTGATGAACGCAGACCTGCTACCAACACGCGTTGATGCGGAGAATAACCCAGCTACCCCGTCTTCTTTCTCTCGGGCACTGTTTACTCTGCTGATATCCCTTTCCTCGGGGTGCTGTGGGCCCACACACATTCTGGCGAGCAGAGACGACATACAGTAAACATTAACAGTCTCAGTATTGACATCGAACAACGCCAGCATCCCTAAAGTAGCGATAGCGCGGCTCCCCGCTGCTGGTAGACAGACTCCAAGGCTAAGCAGCACTTTGAAACAGGATTCTTCTATTTGTTTGACACTAATGTACTATTACTATTGCGTTAACTTTCACAGTCTCGGCCATACCAATGTTAATCTGACAGTAACTACCGCCAATACTCCTGCTACTACAGCTGCTGTAAACGATATTTATATTATTTAGCTCAAATGGTACTGTACGTTTAGTCAAATCTTACTGCTATTAACATCGCTCTTCTCTTTTATTGTTTTGTAGACTGCTTAACTACTAGGCCTGTTATTATAGTAATGTCATATTGTCAACAGTTGTAATGAGAGTGATGGTACTCGTCTGACAACGAACGGTATTATTGCGGGTAAGATTTACACCGGACTACGGCTCCATTCAACGTAGTTCTGTTTGCAGCAGACTGGGCATGTGAAGTTACAGTACGGCTCGCCGGCTAGGAAAGGCGTTTTGCCGTCTTTTCCCGGGTAGAAAGCGGTCCTTCCCGAGCCCGTCGGTGACGGGAGCCGGAGTTCGTCATTCACCTCGCTCTCGCGCACACAAAGGGAATGATGACGGAGCGCTAGTTTGGCTCTTTCCGCCGGCGCGCGCGCGGAGAGCGGTAATTCGCGAGCCGCGGGGTGTGTTCGAGAAGCGCGAGACTGAGGCCGGCAATCAGTCACTCCGGCAATTTGACATCAAGACCATTTAAAAAAAATCTAAGGTATCACGCAGAGACAAACGGATCATTTAAGTGAAGTGGCGAGGAGAGAGGAGCGTGTTCAGCTGCTTGTTTCAATTTGCCAATGTTTCTGTTGTACGAAATTATTCCCCAGAACGGTGTGTCGCAATACTCGCTGCACCTTGGACAGGACGGAAATTCAGTATTCTGTGTACTTCACTAGCGCTACAGTTTCTAAGATTTTACTTTTACAAGAAGTAAAACGACTTCTCTTTCTTCTCTTCCCATTTCCCCTGCTCCTGTCGTTGCTCTGCCGCTGCTGCTACAACAACGTCTACTATGTTTTCCTGCGAAATTAAATGCATGTTATTTCCACAGCAGGTGTATCAACAGATTCCCGCGTCACAGCACACGATCATTCCAGACAGCAGTAGACGCCCGCTTTGATACTGCACGCAGAACGAATCGCTTTGGAGAAAAATAGGCTTGTCAAATTCCAAACTGTGGCGTGGCTTAAGTCTTAGCGCAGCTACAATCATTACCCTCCTGCACATTGAATTGTCGAGCCCAAATCTTACGCCACGCGATACCGGCAATATCGTACTAGATTTGTAGGTTAGCGTACTGGTTGGGTTTGGACTTGCAAATGGGTGAGCCAGCCGGTCTAAGGATAGACCAAAGACCAAAATGGAACGTGAGATTTCGGGATGAGACTGGCGTGGGAATGCAAGTCTTTCCTAGTGAAATTGGGAGAAGCGTAACTTTGGTGGATCCTGTACATTCTGGGAGGTGGGAGATGTCACGTTGGGAAGAACAAAATAAACCGGGAGACGAAATACGAATCTCCGCCTCGTTGTCATCAGTATTAATACATTGGCTTAATTACTCTGCTCTCCTCCCCACTGATCGCTGGTGTATGGTGAGCGTTCTGGCGCACTATGGCTGCCGTCGCATCATCCAGGTGGGGCTGCACACTGGTGGTGGTGGAGGGGAGTCCCCATTTCCTGTAAAGCGCTTTGAGTGGAGTGTCCAGAAAAGCGCTATATAAATGTAAGCTATTATTAACAACAGCTTTATAATGTTGTCAAAATAGCGACTATACCAAGAGGGCGAGTAGGCCCACAGACACGCAGGACTAAACCCGTTCTAGCCCTACGGGATACACGACGCGACAGCCCATGGCCTACTAACTGATCAAAGCTCACAGCGCCGACACGGCGAGGAAGATAATAATGACGGTGACAGTGATTAATCCTTTATTCCAAGCGCAACTAGGCTATAATCACTCTCATGGATCTCTGACAGGCTGAACTGCAGCATCGCTGCCGTACGTGGGGACGCTGATGCGGTTTAAGTGAGTGTAACGCACTCTATTACAGAAGTGGTGTCTAATTAATCTCCATCTGTCCCTTCTCCTTTCCTCCGTCCGTTCTCCCTTCCTTGTGCAGTTTCTGTTTCCAGTCAAGCCCCTCGTCAGGTGAAATTGCTGAACGACTCCAGGAAACAATATTACTAAATTAATAATAGCTGAGTTGAGGTAAATGCAGGGGGGGTTGTGTTCCTGGAGGAATAAAAGCACAAAAGAGAAATAAACGTCCCTTAGTGATTTATCTTCGGGAAAACCAAAATAATGCAGCCCTCAGTCGGTTCTTTATTTTTTTTTCTTCTGGCAAGCGCGGCTTGGATTTTTTTTTCTTTTTTGATGAAGTCTAGGACCCGCAGTCCGGTTATTTGCTCGCTAGACCGTGAACCGATGGAGGGGGAGACGCGGGAGGGACGCGAGCTGTCAACTTCGCGCGCAGCTCTGCAGAGAAGTGACTCATCTGTTTACATCTGCCGGGCGCGGAAACCGCCACTGCGCCTGTGCGAACCGGCTCTGTGACACCTTTTCTCCCCCCAGCCCTCTCTCCCCCGTTATTTTGTTGTGTTCAGAATCCAATGCGCCGACCGGCCGGCCGGGCGACGAGTTGAAGAAAGAAATTATGAAAACGTTTTTTTTTAAAGGGGGGGGGGGAGAGTTGTCTCGTCTCGTGAGCGTGCGCGAGCAGCGCTGGCAAAAGTCCTGTAGTATCGCAAGAGAACCGCTGATATATCAGCACAACGCCTCTTCAGCGGCCTTGGTTTAGTATCACTTTAGAAGGCGGGTGACCGCGACATTTAGAGAAAGACGGGAAAAAAATATTACTCAGCTAGCAAATATTGACCAATTTCTCTGCCAACAGAGTATTGTTCCCAAGTGCGCTGATGTCCCCAGTCCCTACACGGCCCTGGGCGTCATGCAGTCGAGCTGTCTACCCAGATCACATCATCCCTGTAGACCACAGCGGTTTCTCGCTTCGGGTGGCGGCCTGACAGCCTTCCTGCTGTCCCGGACATACACGTCTCCCGGCCCTCTTATTTTCTCTGTTTCTAGCCTTCTGGGGTTGAGCGAACGGGGACACTAGCATCCTCAGGGGGCGGCTGCGATTTCGACACGGGGCTGTCTTTTCCACGCTCTTTCTCGTCGCCCAGGGCTCTCGGACTGCACCACAAATCGCAGTGGAATTAGGAACATTGACGGGACTCGTGCGCGTTCATGGGGAGCGCAGGTTGCACCAGGGCGGCTGCACTCCAGTCAGTGGTACCACCAGACTCCTCCAGGGGTCTGGGACAGCTGTTGTCCTCTGCTGGTAGGCATCTCTGTGGGTGCACTGACATCACCAGCTCTGCAATGTCAATGTTCATGTCCAAAGGCATCACAATCATCTTTAATGCAAGGTGTTCGAAATGAAAATGATTGGGAAGAAACCCTGTAATCGGTATATACTCAGGCCCCGGAGAGCTCAGTTTTGTTG